GACAATTGTCACGATAATAAATACTAGTTAATCTATAGCAGGGGCGGATCTAGAGAAATTTTTTAAGGTGGCAAAGAAATCAAATGGGGTGGCAAAATCAAAGCCTTCTTTCCCCAAACACATGCAGGCGGTTACATATGGTTAAAATTATTTTTTGGAAAACAATCACATTGTTACATGCTTAAATTACACAAAATGTCAGAAATCTACACTGTCATGAACAAAAATTTAAACCTAATTTTTCATGATTTGTTGGATTAACCCACTGAGATCTGTAATACAACCGGCCATTTTTGACTCCTTTTGAGTTTACGTTTGTATTTCACCCTCAAATTGTTTCATTTTATTTTTTTTCCCCTTGCCTCGTTTGGTGTCATTCTTTTCAGGTCAACTGGATTTAGTGATTTTTCCTCACTGACATACTGCATTAGTATTACTGAAATCACACGGATCTTAAAATCCTAGTATTTTTTACAATTTAAAAAAACAAAAAACAAAGAAACCCCAGAAATGTTGAGTAAATGTTTATAACTTGAAATGCAGATATAGGTTTAATATAAATATGACATTCTTGAGTCGCCAACATTTTAACATTAGACATAAGTTTAACAGCCTCTTTAAAATAATAGCCTGGCTTGAGGCTGCAGTTTTCTCTGATAGTTCATTCAAAATTAGAAATGCTACTCTGGGAGACAGAGAGAACTTAATAGTAAATGGTCTGTATTTGTATAGTGCTTTATTTAGTCTTTAAAGACCCCAAAGCTCCTGCAGAGCCATGACAGCAGAGCTCTGGAAGCGCAGGTCGGTCTTGAAGTCCTGAGCTACCTCACGGACCAGGCGCTGGAAGGGCAGCTTGCGGATCAGCAGCTCGGTAGATTTCTGGTAACGGCGGATTTCTCGCAGAGCCACGGTACCGGGCCTATAACGGTGAGGTTTCTTGACGCCTCCGGTGGCCGGGGCGCTCTTACGAGCGGCCGTGGTGGCCAGCTGCTTCCTGGGGGCTTTGCCGCCAGTAGACTTGCAAGCAGTCTGCTTGGTTCTTGCCATTCTTCGTCTCTTTTCTTTTAACTGTGCTAACAGCAGAAAATGTAGCAAACAGACGAGACTCGCTGCCCTTAAAGTGTGTGACTGGCTGTGACGCGGTGCCGCTCCAGCTCGTGATTGGTGAGGGGCTCCACGTGGTGCTCAGCACCGTTCAGAGGAGCACCGCCCCGCCTCGGTGTGTGCCTCTCATTGGAGAAAAGTGCATTGAATTTGCGCGCTGCCGCAAGCCTCTCTGCGATTGGTGCGTGACGAAGCTGCGCGCGCTCTGCGGAAATATAAGCGAGGCTTTTAGCCA